ATAGGATTAAAAAAGGAAAGGTGCAGAAATTTGTTTATAATGGCGGCAAAAGCTGTTATCGTAGCTCTGACTGAGCCTCCGGGGCTAAAGCCCCTATTTTATTTGTCTCACGTCCCCAATAACACATAAAAGCCCTGGGTGGAGTAGCGCTGCTTTAACAAGAGCCCCAAGAGTCTGTGAAGCTCTTAGACGACAAGCATACTGATCCTGCCAGTAATGGGCCTACAACTCCCTTGTTTGGCATGTTAATGAATCTGATCTGCAGTCAACAGCCAAAACAAAAAGAGATTTACTATTATCTCTCAATGATAAGAATATCTGCGGTAAGGTGTTTGTCTAAGTTGCCAATGAAGAACATTATTAGTCTCCTATTCTTAAGCAACAGTCTTGATGTATTCAAGTTTAATGGCGGAATTGCAGCACAAGCACAAAAGTTTGCACATCTGGTTACTGTTTGAACATCCGAAACATAGCAATTGAAACATATTAGGCATTCATAAACCCTGAAACTGAACTGAATGTAAGAGTTATTGAGTTAAATATTTTAATTATCAAATAAACCTTACTTCACCAGAAAACTAGACGTCATGAAACTGACGCCTTGGGAATCATTTTGACCATGCTTCAATATTCGACGCTTTAGGCACCCTTTAGCGTCAGTTACATGACGCGATCCTAGGGCGTCATCTTGCTGACGCTTTACCTTTAACGTCAGTTAGATGACGCTATCTAATCCTAACCCTACCCCAGACCTAAACCTACCCGCGTCATCTAACTGACGCTTAGGTAAAGCGTCAGTAAGATGACGCCCTAGGATCGCGTCACGTAACTGACGCTAAAGGGTGCCTAAAGCGTCGAATATTGAAGCATGGTCAAAATTGTCATTTTAGTGACGCCTTGGGGTGAGAATGCGTTGTAACTAAACAGCGACTGAGAAATAACTGAGCTGGGCTGATTGGAGTTTGTTTGAGGACTGCTGTGATGTACAGTATGGGTGGTACACAGACCTCCCCTCTCTTTCACATTCCTTCCATCCGGAGAAGATGAATTAGGAAGAACAGCAAGCCCCCCGACCAGGATGAAAGCTCTCCCACTTAAGAGAATATTAGGAGAGTAAACTACTTTAGCAGCGGGAGGTGAAATATCAAATTAGCCTCATTTAACATCAAACAGAATAAGTGAAAGTAAATGGCTACTTTTTTGTTTACAAGATACAGTATATCACCTGCAAAAATAAATTCCACATTTGTATACATCATCATGTAATTATTATGTAATTTATAATATAATATAGGATTTTTTTGCAGCCAAAATATATCTTTATATTTGGTCCTTTTCAGAACCAAACTAAATATCAAAACGCTGCAAACCTCTAACTTTAAGGACAGAAAGAGGATGAGAGGAACATTGACCAGATCAATACAACACTGTGGCCGCTGGACAAAATCTCCAGATTTATGATCTCTATGGCAGCCAGTTGAATACAGTCCATCTGCAGTTCTCACAATGAGACACATTTTATAGCATCTGCCAGCTGTAGCTCATACATATGCTCTTTTTGTCCCTTACAGGCACCCGTAATTAGGCCGCCCAATCACTTTGCTTCATAAGGGCAGTACTGCCATAGAGACAAGAATCAACTTCTCTTGGCACCCTCGGGGAATAGACGGCAAAGCAGTGATAACATTTTAGGGTCTGGGCAGATTTATAATGTTACCCTCCCCTACCATTCAGGTTTGATCATGGGGATTAGAGATAGTACATGCTGTGTGATAAGAAACAAAAGACTTAATATTTACAATGGCAAATTCAATTCACCACCCCAGGCAATAAAGTCAACCCACAACAGGGTAAGGTGATGTACACCTTCACCTTGGCCGTAGATTAGTTGGCTGCTTATTACGGCTCATCTGTACTAATAAGCAGCAATAAACAGGGAGGTTTTCTGGTTATAAATTATTCCAGTCAGTGGCACTGCCACTGTCCCACTGATAAGCTTTATATCTTCTGACTTTTGTTTGCCTCTTGTCTCTCTCTGTGAATGAGGTGATCCATGTAATTTCCAACATCAATGAAAACCAGACAGCTTACAGCAGTCTCTGGCACAGAAAGAATACACAACAAATAGCTTAAATGATAAAACTGTCATTCTGACTGTGAATCACCAAATCACTTGAGATAAACTGCCAGAATGGTCCAAACAACCAATTAGAACTGAAATTCCAAACACTGACACCTCTGTCTTCCATGGTTTCCTGGGAAAACCCTCCAAAGTTTAACATATTATGGAATGGCAATGGCACTCATGTATTTTAAATTGGGAAATTTAACTTAAAGGCCATCTTGTTTATTATAGAACACACAGAGCTCAGATGTGTTTCTATCTGTACACATTCACAGATAGCACGTCTACAAAAGGGGCAAATTCACGCAGTCTGACTGGACCAGATTAACCCATAACTTCCAACACATGTTTAACTTCAAGGTAATTGATAGCAAGAACGTGAAACTCACTTTGTCAAGCTTATAATACTAAGGGTTTCAGCTAAAAGCCTGATGACTTTGAGAGTTATTGATACAATATATGATCCCAAACTAAACCGGATCATACTGCCATACCGAAAACCTGATGTTTGCCACAATCACAGAAGATTTTTCTCTTGAGACAGACAAACGGATGGAGTAAAGACAGAAGATAGATAGATAGATAGATAGATAGATAGATAGATAGATAGATAGATAGATAGATAGATAGATAGATAGATAGATAGATAGATAGATAGATAGATAGATAGATAGATAGATAGATAGATAGATAGATAGATAGATAGATAGAAAGATAGAGAATGGCATTAATATAGAAAAGTATTGTGGAAACCCAGACACATCTAAATTTAAACAATGAAAAGCTACTTGCATTTACATTCTGAGTCTGACAATGCAAATTTCACAAGTACACTGTCTGAGAAAGTTTATGCCAAGCACACACTGCCTAAGCCCAGAAAGCAGCAGGGCACAAGGCATTTACCCACACTTACTGTTACTCTTTCTTTCTCATCAGCTCTTGACCAAAAAATGTAAAATGCCTCCCGAAGGAAAATAAACATGATTCGGCCCAGTGAAGACATCTGTCCTTCGAAAAGAATATAAAAGATCTAACTGTTTAAACAGCTGTGAGGATACTCTGTCCTTTTGAACATTTTTGAGAGACAAGCACTGAAATAACATAGTGCTTGGAGTCATGGCTCAAGGGTCAGATATCAGACAAATGACAAATCTCTTTCTGATGACACAACAGCATGTGTGTGAGGTTGTGTACAGGTTATCAGGCCACGTGAATCTAAACTCTGATTTACAGTTCGTGAACCTAAATTATTTCTCAAGCATAACACTCATACGTAATAATTATGTTAGAAATAATGTGTTTTAAAACAAATATAATCTTTTTAAAATCTTAATGTAAAAATAAAATAAATAATTATATATATAAATATATATAATTTATTTTATTATTTTATAATATTATAAAATATTATACAATTTTATATATATAATATTTCTACATTTTTCTGAAAGGAAAATGTGGCCAATAGGCAACTGCGTGTGTACACATACACAGCCATGTCTAATTTAGTGTATTGAGGTGTATGGATATGCAACCTATCCTCTGTCACACGTATGTCGGTAACCCACTTCTAGATGATGCAAAAACTTTTCTAAAAGAACCTTGATGTGGTGCTCTTTTTCCCAACAATATCTCTTCTACCTGTCAAAGTCAGTCATTATTTTTCCTATTGACATTCATTTCTGATAGTGTGTCTCATCAGCCACCTCTGTCGTGTCTTTCATGTTGCAGGTTCTACCCCTCCGCCCCCATGAGGAGTTCTGATGTCCTACGAATTTAAGCTTGAGCGTCTTTTTTCCCCGTCCCGCCGCGCCACACGAACGTGGGGTCCTTCGCCTCGGCGGCCAATTACAGAGCAAGGTAATGAGCAGCCACGTTCTCCTTACAGCCCAGATTGACACTCTCTCCCACTCATTTGTCAACAAATCAGGATGGATGGCGTGGGGGCGATATTGAGCCGGAGGTGTCGCACTCAGAGACGCGCTTGCCGAGCAGCATCTCCTGCTCGTTATCATTGACAAGTTGTCTAGAGCTGAGAGATTTGCGAATCCTTCGCCTTTGTCATCTCAAGATCATTTGTTCGCGATTCGGTACTTATTCCATGCATAGCCTAACGGTTATAGCCTACTAGGTTAGACTAGACCTACTTTTGGCATTTGTCTGTGGACTGCATGGGACTTATATAACAAAATCAGGAGCTGTAAGTTACACTTAACACATTCAAACAAAACTTAGTTTTATGAAAGTCTTGCTTGCATGAAATAGTTGTAGATCTTTGTGTCCTCTCAGGCTGATCTGTATTAGCCTGTATATTGTTTACACATTAGCACCAATAATAATAATTTTTTTTTTTTTTTTTTTTTTAAGTACACGCCAAAGATGTGGAACAGTGGGCTGTGCACATGCTTAGGACATATAAGGGCTCTGGCTGCTGTCCCAATCCCATTCTCCCCTTTGCTTTTCTTATCTGCACTCTATTGTCATAAGTATAAAAGCAAAAAGACCCCCAAATGTATTAAAATAAATAATGTTTTATTTTATATAATATATTTAATAATTATATATCATTGCATGTATTATAATATAATATGTATAATGATATATATTTATTACATAATATGTAAGCTACTATTTATTATATATTAAATTACATATTTATTAATCACTTAATTTTTTGGCAACTTTAATAATAATAAAGTTGTTCCCTTTTTTTGGGGGGGGGGGGGGGGGGGGGTTGCATATACTGTATACGTACTATATATATATATATATATATATATATACAGTATATAATCTGTAAGTATACATGCACTGTGCTGCAAAATAGCCATCTGTTCACATTTGAATCACAGACACTGTGATGTGAGATACTTACTTGGTTCTTTGTGCTCCTCTGGGCCAGACGAACCCTCCGCCAACAGCCCAGACAAGCCAAAGAGCTTCTTCCCAGCATCCTCAGATACCTTCAGGGCATTTGGAGAACCAGTAGGGACATGAGCACAAAAGTCAAAATCTTTTCCCTCCACATCTGTGTAGCGGAGGTGGGGGGATGCCTCTGGATCCATACAGCCCTTCAAGCGCTTGGCAGGGAGGAAGGCAGACTGGTATACCCCTGCATCACGCTCCTCAGGTGGGGAGGAGAACGGTCGGAAGGCCCCCACCGCTCCATGGTTGAGCATGCCCAGTGGGGAGCAGTCAAGATTGGGTGGGGCAAACTGTGGGTGAAGGTGAAGCAGAGGGGTGGGAAAGTCTCGAGTGGGAAAGCCTCCTTGCCGGTGGTACATGGAGGCGAAGGTGTATGAGCCGCTGGGGAACGGGAGGTGCATGTCCTTTTCCAAAGTGACTGGAACTCCAAACGGCCGATGGGGCTGGCAGGGTACAGAGGCATCTCGTCCAGCCTCGGCTGTTGATGCCAGGACCATGAGGGCAGGGGAGGTCAGAGGATTGGGCATGTAGGAGGAGCTCTCTATCTTAAAGGCAGTCCGATGGAGGTCCATTTGAGCAGTGTTGTGTCTACCAAAACTCAGTGTAATGTGATGAAGAGGCCTGAAGGGCACTGGACACAATGCTTTATACTTAAGCCTTACAGACCAGTCATTCTCTGACAGAAAGCTGTTGGGGAAAAAAAAGTCGTATTATGATCCTGAAAACAACTTCAGGTGGTCTAAAGAAAAGCAGTTATTTAAGAAACAGGCAAAAGGCAGAAATGTAAAACTTCCTTAAAGTCTATATATGTCAGAGCATTTTTCTTTCTTTCTTTTTAAAGACGTGTCACATGACCGAGACAGTAACACTAAGTTGCTAGAATAATTAGACTAAGAATGAGTCCTTAAAGAAATGCCTATAGGGTACAGGTCGGAGGCATATTATTGTGTGAACTTAAACAATGAGATGTCATTAACAGAAGTATCCTTTACTATTGCCTTAATGTTGAAAGGTAAACAAAGATTGAGCTAAATAATGCAAAATAAATGATCTTGGTAAAATTCATTTTCATGCAGAAAAATCACATTAAAAGTGTTTAGTGTATTAGAACTGGCATTCTGCGTTAATGAACACATCAATTAAAAATTGTCTGTGCTGTTCACAAAGAAAAAATGTCACGTATGGGTTTTTATTCGTAAACTTCCGATTTTACTCATTATTTATTTGTCAATTCCACTTTATAGATTAATGATGATTAGTGAACTTTTCGGATTGCTAATTTTAAAGGAATTAAAAAAAAATCACTAGAACTTTAACAGTCCTTTAAAAACCGAATAGCCTACATTCTTTTAAAGACCGAGCTATATACGATCTCGGTCATTTGGAAATATTTGCGTATTCAAAGACAACAATAACACCAAGTAATTAATAATAATAATAATAAAACCAATATAAAATAATAATAAAAACGTATGAATGTTGAGATAAAGTTCATTCAAATGTGAATTAATTAAACAGATGGACGATTGTTTTTATAATAGAAACAAAACTAATAAAAAAACTATTTTTTATAACAGTTCGCATAAGTTGTGAGTGATTTTCTTCAAGACAGTGAACTAAGCTTTTAAATATTGCTTTTAAGATATGATATTGAGTCTGAAATCTGCTTTTAACTCAATTCGATCTAAAGAAAAAAAAGGCCTATTTCCTTTCGTTTTCTGCCAGATGTAAAATGTATGTAAAAAGTTGAAATGCAATTTTCTATTTTAAGGCTCTATAACTTGTTCAGGTCACAGGTGTTGTTCAGTTCAATGAAAGATATCTTGTCATGTATGCAGCTGAATGAGATATCTCTCGCAAAAAAACGTACACAAAAGTACAACTTTTCTTGAACACCGCCTTATAAATTTGATGCATCTTACAATTAGGCTTAAGTTTCACTGCACTCTGGTAAATAATAAAGTTAATGCTTAGCATGCAACAACAACAGACTGTAATTGATCCTTATAAAACTAAAAATCTATAATAACACAACAAGAGCACTTGCAAAAACATAATGTCCCCCAAATATCACATTAGTAAAATATAACAAAGAAAGACTCATTATAATACTCACAGTTTAGTCAAACATCTCCTAATCATCAACTGTTGTTTTATCCACGCTCGAGTTCAGATGATGTCAGTCAGGAGAGTTTGCAGATGACTGAAAGAAAAAAGCGCGAAAAGACCGTTATAAGTTTTTTTGTTGTTGTTGCGATTTTGAGAACAATCGCGGAGGTTTAAAGAGTTGAGCTGTGTTGCGCGTGCGACCGCTGTGAAATCTAGATTATGCAGATGCGCGTGATGTGTCAACATCCGATCCGCGCGCGCTTCTGTCAATGTGCGTGAGCCCCTCACTGTACCGCCACGCGCTCACTCGCTCTCTCTCTCGCTCTCTCTCTCTCTCCACTCAGCCCGTCCCGCTCTGTTAACTTTAAATTTATCATCTTCCACCTCCCTGTCCGACTTGGATATTTTGTCAAATGTAGATCTCCATTCTGCGCCTCAACAGTGAATGATGTCAGTTCATCTGAGACATAAATTTGAACACCAAAAAATGCAATGCCTCAACATAGGCTAAATTATTTCTATCTGTATTAGTACCCTACGTAGGCCTACTCGATACGCTACCACGGGTGTCCATCTGCTGGTTAAACATCATACCGCACTTTTAGTGTTAGGGTCATTCAATTCGCTTAATCTGGCATCCTTCACACAAAGTAAACAGTAAGCATAACTGTGGCACAAATATAAAGCTGTGACAAAACGTGGCCTGTTGACTGTAAGACTGCAATTATATTAAAGGGATGCCAACACGCTGTGCTCTTTGGCCTCAGAAGAACAAATGACCCAAAGCCACCCAGACTGGTCAGAATCTGATCTGACATGATGCCCACAAGAATCATGCATGCAACCCAGTGTAAATAAGACACACAAACAGCAAGCCAAATCATTATTTTTAAAAAAGTCCTTGTATCAAAAGTTCAATTGTGGAAAGAAATTTTTAAAAACTTTCCTGTATCACTTCTGTTAATTGGAATACATTCTCATTTACATTTGCATTATACATATAAATATTATAATACTTTATTATTATACAGTATATAATAATATATATAATTTGGTTAATGTAAACATGTAAAAAAAAAGTTTGACTTTTTAAAATAAACACAAACACATTTATTGAAGATATTGTCCATTGAGAACCTGTTTGTATAGAGAGGGAACATAAAATAAAGTTACTCTCTCATAAACAACTAAGGTATTAGCTTGAGTAAATTAAATCACAGTTTAATAGAGGTTCCAGACTCGCTAATTATGACTTCCAAGATCATTAACAAAGTCTTTTAAGTCTCTTGCTTCATAATCCGAGTCCTTAAATGAAAATAAACGAATAAATCAGAATGCTAGAAGGCACGTTTTTGAATATTGAGTCGAACTCTTTCTTTTTGAAATTCATTTATTCAGTGGTGAATCAAATTAGTTCAGTTAATTCTGCAAAGCCATGAACCTAATTGGAGTTTAATTGCTGTTTTTAAGTTTTTGGGACAAGCGAGAGAGCAGTGTGGGTAAAGATGCATCATATAATATCATGCATTGACAAAAAGCTTTACATCAATATTCAATTTTGGAGGAGTTACATATAAAATGTTTTTTTCTTTTGTCATATGTATGTGTGTGTGCGTGCGTGCGTGCGTGTGTGTGTGTGTGTGTGAGTGAGTGTGTGTGTGTGTTTGTTTGCTTTGAGGACACAAATTTGTATAATGACTTAGGTATTACACTGGAATTACAACGTAAACATGGGTTATGAGAACATTTCCTGAGTTCTCAATTAAAAAAATAATGTTTTCTGTGATGGGTAGGTTTAGTGTAGGGGGATATAATATACAGTTTGTACAGTATGAAAACCAATACGCCTATATGGAATGTCATCAATGATAGGTGTACCAACGTGTGTGTGTGTGTGTGTGTGTGTGTGTGTGTGTGTGTATATATGTATATATATATATTATATTACTATATATAAATTTAAAATATGACGTGTCCCTCCACTCATTATATAGTATACATATATATAATGAGCAAATAGAAGAAAGAAAGAAAGAAAGAAAGAAAGAAAGAAAGAAAGAAAGAAAGAAAGAAAGAAAGAAAGAAAGAAAGAAAGAAAGAAAGAAAGAAAGAAAGAAAGAAAGAAAGAAAGAAAGAAAGAAAGAAAGAAAGACTCAGGATGGAGAACTGTAGTGAGTGTCAAAGTGATGAGCTGTCTGCACTGCCTCACCATCTGTGCATATGTGTGCGTGTGAACTGAAGAACTCCCGAAACAGGCAGAAGGCTTGAGTGTGACAAGGAATACAGCGAGACGCATTATGGTGTCCATCATTGATCGCTTCCTCCCAGGAGTCTTGGCGCCTGCTGCAGGAAACAAAAGGTTAAAATATGATACTCCCCTGTTCTCTCCCTCTCAGTGTCCCATCAGCACCTCTGTTTACAAATTCACAGCGCATTCTCTTTCGCCCAGAGTATCCCGCCACCACATTTCCACAACAGGATCGAAACAATATGAATGTTAAAGGCTCTTCATAGAAGCACAGATTCCAATAAACAACATTCATTTTTAAGAGGGTTGAGTATTTTCTAAACATGCATAAGGGTTTCTAAAAAGGACAAAGACATGCAGTAAATCCTCATGTCTTTTTGGTCAAGGAAAAGAGTCCGGGCGCACAGAGCTTAGGGGGCTGATCAGGAGTGTATGGGCTGTGAAGTGAGTAACAGTGAGAAGCAATGACAGGCTGAGACCCCCAAACCCACTGCCTCCTCCCTCTGTAAGCTCGGTCTCTCCTCGCCACAGGGCTGACATTGACATGACACTCCCAAAATAATGATCAACAAACGCTCCTTGCCTGAGCGCAAACGGTCTTCTCCCTTCCTCACAGTGTCAACAGTGATTAACAAAGACCCCGGCATCACTACAGACAGAAACAGCAAACGAAGGTCTGAGGTTGAAGATGTAATGCACCAAACACACACAACGTGACCAACTTTCTTATATCGGGCTACGGTGTTCATACTGTTTCCGGAGGGACTAAAAGCAAAAATATAAGACTATATATTGCTTTATTTTACAAATGTAGGAGAAGTGTGTAGGAAAAGTCATTATCCTCACCCGTATTCATGTCTTCAAATGTCCTACAGACATACCGGGCCACACTTCTGCTCTCTGACTTTACTACATGTTACCTTTAGGACAAGGAGAAAGAACGATATTATGTCCCTCCACAATTACCAAGCTAAGCGAATATTAAAATGTCTGACTCCATCAGTCGGGCCGATCGTGATTGGTATTTTAACCTTTGACTACAGTACAAAGGAACCAGCTCTTGGAACCAATATTGGAAGGGCTGAATCTAATTCTGGAATGATCCTTAGTAATGAGGGGGCTGCCGTGGGGGGCTGGATAATGCATATATGAGATATTATTTTGGGGCTGAAAGTGTTGGGGCAGAGGGGGCTCTCTGAGAGTTGAATAATGGTGTAGCCGGCGTGATAGAAACACCTTAGTGTCTTGCCCGAGGACAGCACTCTTAAATCAAACACAAATGATTTTATCACATGCAAATACCCCTAGGTTTTTTGTGCGTGTGTCGTGGGGCTTTATTTGCAGATTTTCAGTGCAGTGTGAATTCCTGTTAGTGGACGGTCTGTCATTGAAGAGCTAAAAATAATAATGAAATCTTAAAGGTGATGTAACAATTTCAATGTTAAATACTTGATTCCTTGATTAACCTTGATTCCAATGAAAAGGTCGAGCTAACAAAATATTGCGCTGTTTGGCCTAACCAATGGAGGGAGTTTTGGGAGGGATTTTCTGTTTGTCCAACCAATGGAAGAAAGAATTATTTTCACAGTTCCATTCATTGTTCTTGTAGTTGCCTAAAATCAAAACTATTAAAAATAACTTCCGTTGATCGAAATAAATACCGTAAATAAAATTATATGTATCACAACTTGAAAAACTTAAACTTTATCAAAAATATTACAAATGTTGCCTTTGCAACTAACTGAATTAAAATAAGTTTGTTGTACTAAAATAAGTTAAAGTACTAAAACTGAAATAAGGATAAATTAAAGCTACATAGAAATATATATATAGTTTGAACTTAATAAACATGACAAAAGCTGAGCATATAAAATCACTAAAACTTAAACTACAACTGAAAATATTAAAAAAGCTCATTCTAAATTTGAATAAATACTATAATAGTAGGCCTATTTAAATAATACCCAAATAACAGTTCCATTTGGTGATGCTAATGGCTCAGAAATTACTTTCACCTTTGTTTTGTAATGTTTTGACAAAGTGAGAATGTTGTTTGGAGAATAAATCAGCCAAGAATGAAAACGCTGACATCATTTACTCACCCTCATGTCATTCCATCATTATATTTATATATGATATATTTTATATTACTTTCATTTATCAACTAGTATAAGTTTTCTGAAGCGGAATAATCACTTTGTATGTTGAACAGACTGAAATGTACACCTTTATTCCCCCTCAAACAATTCAAATGATTGCTCAACACATGTTTACAGACCCTAAATCAAATATAGCAACACGTCAATACCACAAAACCTCATTGGTTATTGCATGTCATATAACTTATCGTCATGACATAACAAGCATCAACAGAAAGACATATGAGTTTAAAAAGACAAGGCTCAGTAATTTATGAGAGAATTTTCATTTTTAAGTGACCTATCCCTTTAAAACTCAAGTCTCCCACGCCTGCTGTCCAATTAAACAATTCCGGCTGTGTGAGTGACTGGCGGGGGCAGCGGAGACAGGTCTGGCTCTGTTAAAGCCACACTCGGCTAGTCTACCGTCGCCCAGGACCTTCGCCGACTCCATTCCCGGCCCCTAATCAGTGTGTGAGCGTAATATCAGGCTGGGTTAGGTGTCACCATGTTAGAGGCGTTAATGGAAGAGCTCCATCCACTCAGCCGGGGGGACGGCATTACCGCGGGCTGTCACAGTCGGCTGAGGATTGGGACAGTATTACTGCTGGCTTTCATACAACGTTGGTCACTAAACTAATAGGGGCCCCGGCAGAGGAGACGGGGCTGGGAGAGATGGAGATGAGATGGAGAGGCGTGGGGGAGGAGGAGAGGAAATGAGAAGGCGGAGTGGTAAAAGAGAGGGAGATGGAAAGGAGGAGAGGGTAGTCTAGCACCTTCTCCTAATTTGCAGGCTCTAATGTATAGGAGAGCGGGAAAGCTCTAGATGCTGAGAGATTCAATCTGATGTGATTTAAGAGGGTGAATGAATAACTTTCTTGAGAGTGTCGAATCCCCGAAATGATAAATGTTAGGCCGAAGACACTTCAGAACATCCAGCACTTACCCTAAGAGTTCACAATTCGGCGGCATCGGCTTCTGTGAAAGATATCTCTATGCAGGGTGCAGATATGCCAATTCATTTTGTGTCCAAAGATTTGACAAGCTAGACTGAGTCTGAA